AATTAAATTCATTTCCGGCACCTTTGGCTGTCCGGAATTATTCCAATCACGAGGCCAAGCGCACCTATGCTTTTCGACTAATAATTAACTTTAAACGGCCTTAACGTTAAAAAGTGGATCAAGATAAAGCGGGCTAATGGCTCATCGACGAATTTCGTATTATTCCAATTATTTATTGAAAGTGGTGCCACACTACATAAATTCAAATTACCTACACCTTTGAATTTATACCAGAGATCTTTCACTCAATAGAACGAAATAATCAATTTTTTCAAGCCTGTAATGTTTAATTTTTGATATTACGACAGAATTCACAGTCAACTTGGAGTTCCCCAGAAATACGACACAATTTTATGATGAACTTATTCGAATTATTCGAATACAAAATCAACTTAGCCTATTTAACTTAGTCGGGAATAGTTCTACCGAATTCCACGGCATAATTTCGGCTTTAGGGAGTCAAAAGGATTCATTACAAGAAATTATAATAGAGGATTGTGTAATAACGCAGAGTTCGAGGAGTTCTTAGATGACCTTAGAGAAATTGAGACATTTTGCCCAAACCTTACTACCTTTTCATAAAAAAGGTTGAATTTTCCGAACAACTCCTAGATCTTATTGATAATTTACAAAAGCTTAAAACTTTTTATTATGGAGCAATATAGACAACATACCGATTCGTTGAAAAGACTGGTAACAAATCCAAAAGAAGAAAGGTCTTCATTGGTAATACACTAAAGTGTCAATCAAATTTGCATGCGAACGAAACTATGAATTAGTGGTGTAAACTGATAATTTTAGAAATTAATACTGTACGTACGAACGTATACTTTTTTCTCAACATCTCTACTTTTTTCCCACCAGCATCGAAAATACTTATTGGCGATATGCTTGAACTAATGGAGAATATTCTTGATAATTTTTGGCCAAATAATGAATCTTATTCCTTATATTCATGCACACTGTATTGGTGCAATATCAATATCTATTCTTTGGCGAGATCCATTCCGTAAAAGACGATCTTTATTCATTTCTAGATATTTTCATCTATATGATGTATTAAATGAACATGGGATAAATAAGGAATTTTCCCAAACACTATTTGATTATGCAAGATTTTTAAAGGCCCTTGATCTACCTTGTTTAGAAATTACTGTTAAAAATGGATCAAGATAAAGCAGTCAATGACACATCGACGGTTTTTTTTTATTATTCCTATTATTTATTGAAAGTGGCGCCACACTACATAAATTCAAATTACCTACACATATTGAATTTATACGAGATCTTTCACGTAATAGAACGAAATAATCAATTTTTTTCAAGGCTGCAATGTTTAATTTTGGATATTACGCCAGAATTCAAAGTCAACTTGGAGCTTTTAAAGACTCTCTCACGAAATAGAAGAGCAATCAATAAACCGACCTTAAAATTTTGTTTAAATTATGAACCAGAATTATATGAAGAACTTATTGAATTATTCGAATACAAAATCAACTAAGACAATTTAATTTAGTTGTACAGAATTTCACGGCATAATTTCGGCTTTATGGAGTCAAAAAGATCCATTACAAGAAATAATAATCGAGAATTGCGTTAATATCACAGAGTTCGAGATACTAAGGAGCTTAGTATTAGGTGGGGTGATATGAAGTTGTCGGATGTACTAAATTCTAAAATGATACATACAATTTTGATACATGTGCAGGGCAAGTAAGATATGCTGTTGACGAAGAGGATCTAATATGTTGGTTCATTTCTGGTTTGAAAGAATTATGTCGTAGCAAGGTTATGGCATTAAGTCTCACGTCATTTGAAGCAGCAAAGGTAGTTGCAGAGATGATGGATAAACATTGGTTAGAGGTAGAAAATAAAGGAATGATTAGAATTATGAATGAAGAAACAAGTAAGACGAATCATAAATATTCACTTGTTGTTTATAATATTGAAGCTCTTCAACGAAATACAAAATCATCAGACGTATATGATAAAATGGACATTGATGATATTGGTCATAAGACTGAAACCATTGAATATGTAATCGATATAACGAATGAACCAAAAGTGGCGAAGTCGAACATTTGAGCAATGAATTTTTGAATTGATCATCTATAATCGGTAATGCATACATAGAGAATGATAATGAAAATACATTAGTAGTTGGAAATTACGATGAATATGAGAACAGTAAAATAGCAATGCATATCGAACAATTGGTAGTTAACTTATCTGATGCACATATTGATGAACATAAGACATTCAATAATCTGATCCGATGGGACATTTATGACTGAACATTGTTATGAAAAGGAGAATGAAGTTAAAAATGATGACAATAAGGCGTTCATTGATCATCAAAAACCTGCTTATATGGTCAGCTAGTCGAATTAACAATCTCAGATGTTGTTATCAACAATGAGAAGGTTGAATATCGTTGTGCAAATGAAATTGATCCCGAAAAGAACATGCATATGGTATTCACTAAAATCGGATGGTATAATCATAATTTATTTGATCCTGTAATAATGTTTTCTGAGTAAATAGAATATCGATATATATTGATAATAGTATTTTTCTCAAACATTGCAACGCTCCTTTAAAAAGAAATGAAAAGACTTCCTCGGTAATGACACTAAAGTGCAAGTCGAATTTTGCATACGAAGCGAAACTTTGAATTACGTGGGTGCAAACCAGGGGTACCGAAAAATTAATTGCGATTAAATTTTTTTATAATTACCATTAACATAATTGTTACCAATTAAATTGTAAATAATTGCAATTTTTGTTTTCACTATAAATTTTAATTTTAAAACGTTCTAATATATTTTGATATATTGTTGGTAAATCACTTTAAAATTTCTTGTAACCAGATTCTTTTTTGGAGTTATTGGCTGTGACTCGGATAAATTACAGTTGTTCAAAATTGTTGCGCCCATTGGAATCAATTTAAAATTAGAGACTTAAAGTGCACTTTGATAAATATATTTTCGGAAAGGAATGTAATGCGGCTTTCAGTAATTAAAAAATAAATCACTTGGTTGATTTCTTTATGTAATCATGTACAAGTTTAATTTTTGATGCCAAGATCAGCAAATAAATTAACGAATATCTTATTATTACATATTTACCGTGTTTGCAAATTGTTAGTAATTCAACAGAAATATTTGTTAAATATATATTTTTGACATAAAAAATAAATGTATGATTAAAAACTATTAAATAATAAAGATAAATATAATGAAGCATATATTTAAATTGTTTTTTCAGAAACTATCTAATCTAATTCGATGAATCATTTTTTATTTGAATTCTATAGATACATTGAATTCAAATAAAAAAATATTTGATCAGTTGGTTGCTGAGGTAATATCGCTCAAAGTTTTTTTTTTTTTAATGTTTATCCCATAGCTGCCAATTTTACCATAATGTGAGCTTATTTTTTAAAAATTTCCATTTTTGTAGTGAAAAAATTAAATTAATTCCGGCCGGAAATTAGTAAACAATTTTGTTATGTGGGCCAAAATTTTGAGGATCCTCGGCCGTTAGCCGAGGATCTACCGGCTCAACTTTGGGGAAAGTCTCCGGACACCTACCGATTTGCACCTACCTAGTTAGCGTTAGGGTTAGAATTTTTTATCATAGCAGAAGTTCGTTTTGATTGGCTAAAATTAAACTAAATGTGATTGGAGACGATCTTTTTTTTATACAGTCAACTGTAATTTTTAAAGTACTTTTATAAATAAAAATTGTCATGTCATATGAGAAATTTTTTTTGTAATACGTAGTGTAGAAATCAACTTGAGTCGTTAATATTTTACCTTGAGTTTTACTGTTTTTTAACTTGGGATATAGTGGGATATAGTAGTTTCAAGATCTAGATGAGAAGCAAAGATTTTAAAAGGTCAGAAAGTAGTTCAGCAGCCTAAGCAATTGGTGAGTGAAGTTGCAAGATTTTATTTTCACTAGTTTTGCTTGTCTATTAAAAAATACTATTTCAAACTACATTCTAAACTGTACTTTAATTTTTTTTGTTATATTTATTTAGGTTATAAGTATAGCCTCTAAATACAACATTTATAGTGGTAGTGGTTAGAAATGTTTGCGTGTCATGAATCTAGTTTAATAATGTATTACAAAATTTAATTGTTTATTGTAAATGAATATACCGGTACTTATTATGAAAAGAATAATATATATATTGTAAAAGATGAGCTATTATGAAGCAAATTAATGTGTTGTAGGTTATAATATGCATTTTCAGAAAGTATTAACTAATTTTTTTTTGGAAGCAATAAATTCTCGTCTGGGTATGGCCAATACTTTATCTGGGGTACAATCAACATTTTTTCTGGGGTGTTTTGACAACCAATCAAAATGAACTTCCACTATGCTGAATTTTTTATGATTTGATTTATATTTGGTAGGTGCAAAATCATGTGTTGGTAGGTGCCAGAGACTCTTCCAGAATTTCTGAGCTTATTCGATTGTGTAGATCATCTGATGGTTTTACTATTTATAAGCCCCACCAGGGGTCTAGACCAGGGACACTGATTTTTTTTTTTAGATTATAAGTAAATTTTTTTTTGGATAATGCAAAAATTTTGGAAATTTTTGGATTTAGCCAGTATTAAAAAATAAATTTCATAATTTGGGCCATGTCATATGATTCATGTAACTTTAAATTATTGCCCAAAATTTCACTATTCTAAAATTCTCGAAATTTTAGCACAACCAATCAGATTAATAGAAATTAATAGACAACATGATCTGTAACCAATTAAAGCACTAAAATCATGCATAAAATTTTTTAAAATTTTGGTTTTTTAAGCAGAGGTCTTTTTTAATTTTTAACAGCTGCCTAGTGCATTGGGTGTGTATCAAGTATAACCCATGTTTGCATCAGGAGAGCATCTTCCTGTGTTGCGATACAAAAGTAAAATTTTCTATTAGATTATATAATAGAAAATTTTGCTTTGTATTCACAATGCAGAAAGATGCTCTCCTAATACAAACCTGGGTTATACTTGATGCACTCTCAATGTATTAGGCAGCTGTTAAAAATCAAAAAAGACCTTTGCTAGTTTTTTATGGATATTCCTCAAAATTATAGATTTTTTTTAAAAATTATAGAAATTATAGATCTATAATTTTCAGCATCCCTGGTCAAGACACTTTTGCAATAACATGACCATCATGTGGTGTAGCATATTTTTTTGTTAGTTTAGAGTTTGGGTTCATGTTAGGGTTTTTAGCTTTATATATTATATATAAAATTGTATTTCTGACACTTTTGTTAGTATTTAAAGGCTGGTTTAAACACTAGTTTTTGAGTATTTTCACTTTTTTCACTTTTTTTTTTTCTTGTATATGTGTTTTGTTTTGATGTTAGACAAATTCAGAATGATCAAAATTTACAAATTCTGATTGGTTATTTTCTATGTACCATGTTATATTAGGGAGCTGACAATTATTAGGTGATTTTCTAGAGGGGGTCAAAAAATTGAAATTTTATATATAAGACCTGATAATTTATATATTAAAAACTGGGATAAGCCTTTGATAAAAAAATCAGGTGATAAATGACACTGCCCTTACTGCAAAAGTGTCTAGACCCCTGGCAGAGCTTTATTTATAGGCTATGACTTTTATCATATATAGCAGAAACTTGTATTTTTACAAAAAATCACAGGTTATAAAATTCAGATAATTGGCTAAGTGATATAGATCCAAATATAATTGTTGACCAATCAAATTAATTAAAACTCTTTTGATACGTGAAATACATAAAGATAAATTTATTATTAATAAAAGCAAAGAATTTTTAATACTAAAGTAATTTTATTCTATTTTTCAACTATAAATTTTACTGAAAACATACACATTATATCTAACATGTTATTACACCATACTATATGTTTCCGAAAATAAGCTACCTCCAAAAATAAGCTACCCCCTCTTTTCTTGAAGAAGAAACATAAGAAAAATCTTTATTCCAAAAATAAGCTACCCTCAATAATTTTTCAAAATCCGGAAGTAGTTGCTACATATAAATGTCGAAATTCTATTAAGTAAATCGACAAAAGTCACTTAATAGCGGTTGTGCAGGAGGTAAAAATACACCTATTCTGAAAGTTTGAAGCAAATGGGAGAACTTTTTAATAAGATGTTTTTGCATTTTATGTTTGAATGTAAAATGCAAAAACATCTTATTAAAAAGTTCTCTCATTTGCTTCAAACTTTCAGGATAGGTGTTTTTTTACCTCCTGAACAATCGCTATTAAGTGAGTTTTGTCGATTTACTTAATAGAATTTCGACGTTTATATGTAGCAACTTCCGGATTTTGAAAAAATAATAAAAATCAATCTTTTCAAAATTTTACCTGAAAATAAGCTACCCCATGATTTTTGTGTAACTTTTTGGCCAAAAAAGGGTAGCTTATTTTCGGAAACCTACGGTATGCTGATAATATATGTGTGCACCTCTATTCTTTGCATAAAACCAAAAAATTAAATTTTGTATAGCTAATTTATGTGAAATCCAGTTATTATTTATATAGCCACTCCCTCTTTCTATAGTCAACCTTCATAAGTGTATTTCATACAAATTTTCCTCTATAAGTCACATCATTTGGAGGTCTATTGTAACTTATATGTAGTTGAGACTAAATCACCTTCATAAGCGCATATTCTACAATGTGCTTTTCTCCAACATGGAGTTGACAAAATAATTATCTCTATATAGGCACAATTCCTCATAGCCACTTCAGGATATACTGAACTTTATTCCCCGGTTCTTATTTATACTTCTATACTATTCCTTCTCAATTATTCAAATATTACTCTTTTGTGTTCTAAATCAATAATGGTTTAGTAGTATATTAAAAGTATATACAACAAATTAAATAATGCGCTTAGTAGTATGTTAAAGTTTACTAGCTTGATTAGTTTGCTATTCAGCAAAACAAGAATTAATTATTAAAATCATAAAAATCGTGATTCTCAAGATACTTAACGATATATTAGGGTAATATAAATTAACATTTTCACTAAATTTATTCATGATGAAAATATTTAAAGAACAGATTAATTAAAAATGATACTAACAAAAGAAACTTTTTTTTCATTAAATAGAATAACTTTTGTATCACATATATACATATACATTAATTAATATGTTTCACGTGATTACATGCTGAGCATATATATAACGATAAGATTTTTTTTTTTTTTTTTATTACTATATACATTTTAAATAATTAAGCTTTTTAATC